CTATCTATCTATCTATCTATCTATCTATCTATCTATCTATCTATCTATCTATCTATCTATCTATCTATCTATCTATCTATCTATCTGTCTGTTCAGGTGTACCCAGTCTGCCTAACCGTGTGTGTTCGCTCCTCAGATCCTTGTACGAGAATCTCATGCAGGTTGAGAAGACAAACGACGCGGACGGGGACGGTAACGTCACACAATCTGAACTGGCCGTTGAGCTAGGAATCCAGGACTCTGACAGTATGTTGATGTATGCCTGGCTATAGACAAGAAGTGTGTGTGTGTGTGTGAGAGTGTGTGTGTGTGTGTGTGCGTGTGTGTTTGTGTGTTTATGTGTGTATGTGTGTGTGTCAGTGTGAGGGGGGTTGGACTGGGGTTTTTTAGGGGAGGGGTTGTCGGATGAAGATATATATGGAAGTCTGGTGTTTAAAAAAAGGGTGTAGGGGTAGGCGGTAGGCGGTAGGGATGGATGAGTGGGGAACTGAGTGTAAAAAGGGTGCTAGAAGTGTGTAGGGGAAAGATTGGATGAGTGGGGAAGTGTGAGTTTTAAAAATAATGGGTGTAGTGGTGGGGTGAATGGAGAAGGGAGTGTTTATTAAAAGGGTGTTTGGAGATTGGACAGGGGGACTGTTGGGTGAGGGAGGGGGTGTAAAAAAGGGAGTTGGGAACGGGAATTGCAAGAAGGTAGCGAGGAATAAGTTTAGGACAGAGAATAAGGGGGGGGGGAGGCAGAGGAAATTAAGGAGGGATAGGGTGAGGGTAGAGGGTGAGAGGAAAGCGTGAGAAGAGAGAGTGAGAGGAAAGGGTAAGGAGAGAAGTTAGGGGAGGAAATGAGAAGGGAGGGGAGGGGAGGGGAACAGGGATGAGACGGACGAAACGGGTGATGGGAGAGGGGAAAAAGGAGATGAGGTTGATGAAACATGAAAGGAGGAAGGGGAGGAAGAGGGTGAGGTTGACAAAACGTTATAGGGAAAAGCTAAGTGAGAGAAACTAGGAGAAGTGAAAAGTGTGGATAGATAGATAGCAGTACCAAAGAACCCCTTCAATCAAAGGACACCAAAATAACTCTTGTAAAATATGGTACATAAATTTTGTAGTAAGTTATTTTAAACTATGCTCACGCTTCTCTCTCTCTCTCTCTCTCTCTCTCTCTCTCTGTCTCTCTCTCTCTC